AAAATTTGTTTAAAATTGAAATCCCAGTAAATAAATGATCATCTCTATTTAAGTTATCTAATTAAAACAAAGATTTTTAAAATTTTTTAATAAAAACAACTAGATTTTCTTTCTGCTAGCGGCCTTTTCATAATAAACTTTTTTTTTTACTTTTTCTGTTTTTCTTGTAATTATTTGTAAAGAGAAGGGTATCCTGCCTTTTCTCCTCGGAATATACTCTATTTATTAGGTCTTGAACTAATTTAACCGCCCTCTCAGAGCAGTCATTAACAACATCAAGTCCCATGACTGTTGCTCTAAATTCTAGATAAAAATCATTGAATTTCCAAAACTCTGGAGGTGTCTTCATCCATTGAGTTTCTACCTTTCTATGTCTAAGCATGTCAAAAATGAGCCACGACTTGTCTGTTATTAATGGAGCTAAACTGGGAGGCTCATGTTTACTGAAGTTAAGACTTTTCAATACAGATTGGTCCATTATTTGGCGCTTCAAAGGGAAATTTTCATTTGGACATCTTTGTAAACTATACAGTTTCCTGGCCATATCACTGCGTTCCATACATTTTTCATCAGCTAGGGCGAAAACTGCCAAAGAGGGATCTAGATACCAAGTATGTCTGAGAATAGAGCTCGCAACAGCTTGGGAGCCAAGTAGATTCCATTCTTCAAACCTTTTCATTTGCCAGTAAGCTTTCACATCCTAGTAAATAATATTAATAAATATTTTGAACCATTTTAATCAATAACAAGCTTTCCAACTTCTCAATAAAATACTAAAAAACCATAAAATACCTAAAATACCTGTGCTGGTGCTAAAAGACCATATACTTGTGCTGGTGCTAAAGAGCTTAGCTCCATACCAGTTATTTCTTCTTTTTCTTTGTCAGTGAGGTTTGGGATTTCATTCATTAAAAGATATAATTTTAAATAGTATAAACCTCTTCCCATGAATCTTGAATGGTGAACTGGTCCTGGTAAATGAAATTTAAACCTATTTGACGATAGAACCATTAAAGTAAGTTCAGCTAGCTCATGGTATTCTTTTCTAACGTTTCCATCCTAATAAATATTTTAATATAATTTTAATTTGTTACAATTTTTTCTTTTAAATATTTAAAATAAATAGAAATCAAAATTACAATAGCACCTTTTTAAAAATCTTCAAATTGATCACATTATTACAAAACTCAATAGCAGCTAATTTTTTAGTGTATATCTATGATCCAGTAGGTATTAATATTCTTTTCAGTTCCTTAGTTTCAGTATCTATACAGTTCCAATTTTTTTTAGAAATTCAAATAGCTTATTTTCTGGACCAGAAGTTTTGCTGCTAGGGTAAATCTTCCAGAAATGAGTTATGTGACGCTAAATTACATGATGTCTCCATGCAATCAGCAACAATGGGCGTTGAATTTGATGAACTAATCTCATGCAAGTACTTTGCCAAACTCCTGTATTTGCTGAAGTTGTGTCGAAGCAGAGACATTGAACTTTATCTTCTAATCCAAAAAACTCCATTAATTCAAAAATTGCTTGCTTTTGATTATCCCCAGAACTAGACTCTATTGGAGGAATGCCAAGTAGTTATGTTTTCCCATCAATCCTCACCAAAACTGCAATTCTATCTTTTCTTAATTGCTTTCCAGCCGTTAACTCATTTACTATTTTTCCATCAAAGTGTATGGTCATTAGTGAGTTCGATGATACTACACTGTTTTTTATATATTCTCTTATTTCTTTTGCTCCGGCAGATATTATGCTCTCTGCAGCTCTATAAGATGTGGATTTAGAACATCTAAAGTTTGCTACAGAACCACCAGCCATGACAATAACACTACTAATCTAAGTTGCATGTTGGTGCGGTGTTATACCCTCCCCAACTGCTGTATGAGCGGTAGACTCAAGTATATTTTTAGGAAGAACAGAATTTTGAATATTAGGAATCTCATTAATATCAAAGTCGATATCTGTTTCTTGGCCTAAATTTTCGCTAGTGTAACTAGAAGAACTTAGATAATCTAAATCATTTGTATCTAACTCTGCTAATAGCTTTTTTTCTAAATTTGATTAGCTTCTTTTATTTCTTTCAACATAATACTCATATCTTTTATCTCTACCTACAAGACATCCTTTCCTTTCCCTAAGTTGGTCTTTTAAAAAAGCAATATCTTCTTCCTTGTCTTTCACTCTTCTCATTATATCTTTTAGTATTTCCCCAAACATTACATGAGGATGTTCTCCAATCCAAAATACTTTATTCATTTGTTCTTCAATTAAGTGTCTCTTTTTTACTTCAGCAAGATTTGTTCTGCTTCTTTTAATCTTTTAATTTCACCCACTCCTTTAACAACTTCTCAATATTAATTCTTTAAAAACAATATTTACTTGTATAAAGGCTTATAGATTAAACTGATTTAGAATGCAATAATAAAAGTTACCTTAGCTTATGCATTGTAAGCACTTTAAATCCACCAGTTTAGATAGTATGCAGCAGTCAGAC